GTAGTGATTCTACAGCATCTTACTATGTTGAAGGACAGTGACTGTGAACGGGGATGTGGGGGGGTGGGACTTGGTGAAGGGGGGAGCCTAATAAACATAATGCCCTTCATGTAATTGTAGATTAATAATACCAAAATAAAAATAATAATAAAAATAAATAAAATAAAATTTAAAAAAAGAATCTCATTCTCTGGCTTCAGGTTATTTAATTCTTTGCTTGTGATTGCAGATTTGAAGTACAGTAGAATCTTCCACTTAAGCCTTAGAACAATCATATGCAAGGGTGATTAGGGAAGCCCAATCTGCTGACGAAGGCATAGGAACCTGGAAAGCTTGCCCCTTTTCCACAGTCACTTGGTTTTGCAGCTGACTGGATCATAGAACTCCCCCCCAGCCTCAAGGTCTCTATGTGTAGGTGAGCTTGACTTTTTTGGGGGTGTTGTCTTTTATTTTATTCTCCACTGCACCTTTCCTGTGTTCCTCCCCCTTCTAACAAGTCAGACACTTATTTTTTTAGAGAGAGACTAGTATTGGTGACACGCTGCTTTCTCCAAGTTGCTTAGATTGTGTCCTGTTATTCCAACTGGGAATACCATCCATCACAGTCAGCTGGGGTGTCTGGGTGGATGTTAAAAATGAATCAAAACCCCTGAGAGGGTGGCCCTGGACTATGCAAGGTAATGAAGCTCAGAATCTTTGGGGAGGTTTCAGAAGTTTTTCATTTCTATTAAAAAAGTTACATTTTTCAGAAAAGTTGCAGGAATGACACAGTGAACAACCCCTGTAATCTAGACTCACCAGTTGCTGCATTTTATTATGTTACTTTCTCAACTAGTTTTGTTGCTATTGAACCATTTGAGAGCTAGTTGCAGACATTAGGACACTTCATCCCCAAGAACAAGCACATTCTCTTAAATTATCACAGTACAGTTATCATCCCAGTCGGAAATTCCACATGGGTGTAAGGCTGTTATCTGTTACCAGTCCACATTTGGATTTGCCCCATTATCTCAATAATGACTTCCACAGTTTTTTTTTTTTTTGATCTACGATCCAACCAACTGTCACTCATTTAGGTGTGTCTCTTCAGCCTCTTTTTACCTAAGAGAGCTCCCCAGCCTTACTTCATCTGATTCTTCATGATGTTGATATTTGTGAAGATCCAGGCCACTTCTTTTGCAGAAAACTCTCAATTTGGAATTGCTGGGTTATTTCCTCATCAGATTCAAATTAAACATTTTTGGCAGGAAAGCTGCATAGATGATGTGTATTCTTACTGCCATTATATCAATAGACGTTCGGGGTCCGTTTGTCCCTTAGGTAGTGGTGTGAAATAACATTGGTCATTCATTTGGGTCATTTGTAAAGGTAACTTTTCTACTTTGTAATTAAAAACTTATCTGTGGAGGATCCTTTGGGATCACTCACAAAGTGTGAATACAATATTCTGTTCCTAACAATTTTTATGAAATGGTTTTAGCATGTATTTATTTTTTACTGAAATACTTATTATGGTGGCTAGAAAATGGCAATTTACTATTTCTGTCATTCTTTCAACATTTATTATTTGGCATTCTTTTGTAAAGAAGAGCTTTTCTGCCTACCCTTCCCTTTAAAATGAGTCTAACTCTCATTATTATTAATAGTAGTAATAGTTATATCAGTGTGGATTCAGGGATTTAAAAATCATTATTGCTTGTTTTATAGTACATTTCTGACATTCATTTGATGCTGAAATTATCCCAGTTTGGCTGAGAGTCCTTTCCAGCTGGTTGCCGTGTCCCTGTGACATGTCCCTATTCGATTTCAAGGTCTTCTCCCATTCTGGCACAGACAGATTTCCTAGGTTCATTCCTTGGGATCAGCCACTTCCCCAAGTCAGCCTGGTTATTTGTAGTGGAGAATGATAGTTAGAAACCAAAATCTGGCCTCTGGTGTGCTCCTTGTTGCTGGATGTCATTGTTTTCAGGGTCTTTTTCATAGGCACAGCTAGGAAATACGTATTTTTAAAAATCATAAATTCATATTGCTATCTCTAATCCCAGTCCAGTACAAGAAAGCTGTTCTTCCCCTTTGCTTATTCCATATTTGTGTCTTCCATTTGCTTTTTATATTTCACCCAGGACTGTTTTTTTTTCTTCAAATCTTGAATCTCCTTTACTCCTGATATTATTAGGAAAATAAAACTCCTCATGGTTAATATCTAATTTCCCATAAGCAATGATACATAGAGTAAATCATAAATTCAGTGCAGAGGTGAAGGCTAATACCAAATCTTATGGGCCTTTAAAAATTTCTCCACAAACAGGAGGGTCGGAAGGAAACATAACCAGAATATTTTATTCTTTCCATGTTTTCCAATCATTTCACAATGAGTATATATTACTTTAATAATAACAAATAGGTTTTTTTAAGGCAAAAAAGCCCTATATAGCTTCGGTACAGCAAAGGACACCACCAATAGAACAAAAAGGCATCCTACAGTATGGGAGAATATATTCATAAATGACAGATCCGATAAAGGGTTGACATCCAAAATATATAAAGAGCTCATGCACCTCAACAAATAAAAGGCAAATAATCCAATTAAAAAATGGGCACAGGGACACTTCTCCAAAGAAGAAATTCAGATGGCCAACAGACACATGAAAAGATGCTCCACATCGCTTGTCATCAGAGAAGTGCACATTAAAACCACAATGAGGTATCACCTCACACCAGTAAGAATCGCCACCATCCAAAAGACAAACAACAACAAATGTTGGTGGGGTTATGGAGAAAGGGGAACCCTCCTACACTGCTGGTGGGAATGTAAATTACTTCAACCATTGTGGAAAGTAGTATGGAGGTGCCTCAAAAAACTAAAAATAGAAATACCATTTGACCCAGGAATTCCACTCCTAAGAATTTACCCTAAGAATGCAGCAGCTCAGTTTGAAAAAGACATACGCACCCCTATGTTTATAGCAGCACTATTTACAATAGCCAAGAAATGGAAGCAACCTAAGTGTCCATCAGTAGATGAATGGATAAAGAAGATGTGGTATATATACACAATGGAATATTATTCAGCCATAAGAAGAAAACAGATCCTACCATTTGCAACAACATGGATGGAGTTAGAGGGTATTATGCTCAGTGAAATAAGCCAGGCGGAAAAGGACAAGTATTAAATGATTGATTTCACTCATCTGTGGAGTATAAGAACAAAGAAAAAAATTGAAGGAACAAAACAGCAGCTGACTCACAGAACCCAAGAATGGACTAACAGTTACCAAAGGGATAGGGACTGGGAAGGATGGGTGGGAAGGGAGGGATAAGGGGGGGGAAAGGGGGAGCATTACTATTAGCAGACATAATGTAGGGGGTGGGGCACCGGGAGGGCTGTACAACACAGAGAAGACAAGTAGTGACTCTACAGCATCTTACTATGCTGATGGACAGTGACTGTAATGAGGTATGTGGGGGGGGACTTGGTGATGGGGGAGTCTAGTAAACATAATGTTCCTCTTGTAATTGTAGATTAATGATACAAAAAAAAAAGCCCTGTATAAGTTGGATGTCAACATTAGGTCCTACATATCATAGTGGGGGAGGAATAATTTTTCCTCTACCCTTCCTTCTAGGTTCTTGATTGAGGGACATACTCCTCCCCCAAATAAAAAGCTAGCTTAACAGGAAAAAAAATGATTTTCTATTATGTACTATACCTACATTCAGGAGCCCCACAAAAACATGAGACTCAAAGGTTGTAAGGTAGTTGAGGCTTACACTGAGCTAAGGAAAGGGATAGGGATCTGGGGCTTCAAAAGCAAAGAAAATTCTCAGTTAAGTGATGACGAAATACATGGTGAACAGTGTGTCCTGCCCTATAGACTAAGTCTCTCAGGTGAAGCATCCCTGGTCAAGCTGTCTTTTTGGCATAGGCCCCCTTTCTAATGTACATTCCCCTTCTAAAAGGTAACCTCAAATTTCAAAGCTTCTGCGTCTGCAGTTTCTCAGAAATGATCAGCTCAAAATAATCCTTATGTCTAAGAGGCACAGTTTGGGGTGGAATATTCCTGTGCCCTTCTGTATACTCTGGGAGCCAGGCCTGTGGGGACAGAGATGATTAAGGGCCTAGTGACAATGAGGGGCCAGCAGAAGGCAGGGCTTGGAGGCCTTTCCACAGGCCGGGAGGTCAGGGAGGAGCATGGGACCCTCCGCGTCCCGCCACAGGAAGCCGGCTTGGGAGGGTACCCGGCCGACCTTTGGGCGGTCCCAGTACGGGGCGGGGGGTCGCGGCGGCGGCGGCGGCGGCGGCGGCGGCGGGCGGCGGCGGGCAGAAGCCGCTTCGCTGATGTCTGGCACCGATGTCCGCAGAGACCAGCCGCCGGGAGGTCAGCCCGAGCTGCGTAAAGCGGGCGGAAGGGCCGGCGGGGGAGGGGCCGGGTGTGCGGATTGGCTGGCGGGCGGCTCACGAGCTCTCAGCGCCCGCCCCGCCCCGCGCTGCACGCCGTATTCACGTGGTGCCGCCCCAGCCTGCTCCGCGCCGCGGGCTTAGCACGTGGACGCGGCGTGGAATCTCCGTGCAGGCCGGGCGGCTGCTGGTTTTCCTCTTCACCGCCGGGGTTTTTCCGAGGTCTGGGAGCGGCCGTGCTTTGTAAGTGAGCCAGAGGAGCTAGATCGGCAGTCGGCTGGCCAACCTGGCCGCGTGGGCGCGTCGCAAAAAAGGAACGCGAGACAGGGAGGCGTTGGAAGAAAGTCCTGAGCGAGGGAGGTGGCCCAACAGCATGCACTGTTTTTATCTTTGGGGAGTAAAGAGTTCTCGGCTGAAAGACGGACCAAACCTGCTGACTGGGTTCTGTGTCCTGTGTAACAGCAGGCAAACAGCGGTGCAGCTGCTGTGAGAACATGCCTCCTGAGGGTCAAGGGCCACATTGTACCCCAAAACCTCAGCTATCACTTGGATGCACCTGCCTCCCCCGCACGACCTGGGACATTGGCTATCCTCTGACTCTTCTTAAAAAGGGCCTGGGATTGACTTGTACAGAGTGACCCAGCTAGTGAAGGGGCAGGAAACCCTGTCATGAAGAGCAGTTAAAGAACTGGGGGTGTTTAGCTCTCATGTGACAAGCCCTGGGGTCCTGTGAGCCACTCTGAAACTATTTGGAAGACTGTTCTTCAAACAAACTTTAGGATGATGGTCTGCTGCCTTAGGAGCCAGGATAGAAATGTTTACAGGAGGTGGATTTCAGGTCAATTACAGAGAAGGGGCAGGATTTATGCCATTCTCACCTGCAACCAGGTACAGCTAGGTGTTTGAGTATATCAGTAAGAAAATGTGGAGCTCATTCAAATTCTAGTTTGCCCAGTGCCAAAGCCCTTTTCTTTTTATGAAGCCTTTCTTTTAACAATGGGTTATTTCAGGAGTGATGATAGTGCCTGAAGATTTGTGCATTGATTGAGCACATTGGACTGGAGGATTCATCCAGCCGTGTTTAGCCGTGTCACTGATTCTCTACCTCAGATGAAGACAGAGGTTGGCTGGGCCAGATGAAGATGCCAGGGCTACCTGAGATGGAGGAGGTTTCCAGTCTCACCAGCAGGTTAGATTTTCGAACACTGAACATTTCTGACACATTGCCCCTATATGCTCTCTCACGCATTAGAACAGTAATTTTCACTTTGTTTAACAAATGTGACCACAGCATCTGCCTGTTATCCATCATTCTTACTGCCGTCTAGCCCTTATTTCAAATCTGACACTCCTTCCCCTGTCCACATAGTCTGCCTAGATCAAGCTAAAAGTGGGACCAGTGCAGTAAGAGCTGAGGACTAGAGGAATAACTCTTGAGTACATTTCAGCCCTCCAGGCAACACCAGATACAGTGCCCTGAGAACTTAGAGGACATGTGTAAAGGAGGTAACCGTCCCTGAGGTCTTGGGTTCGTTTTATGAATTAATAGCTTCATAATTTTAAAAGATGAGAGCTCTTTAGTCGTCTATTTTTGTCTTCACTACATGTATTAAATTGTCCAATATAACCCATTTTAGCATCCCTGAGAGGAAGGTAGGGGTACGGAATGGGCACAAAGAGGCAGTAGTATCTGGTTTTTCTTCAGTCTCTAGCAGACCTACAGTTTCTTATCAAAAACCTAGCCAGAAAATTCCAAATTGAGCTCTTGTTCTCCAGAGGAATTTGCCTGAGATGGCATCCAAACTTGGTTGCCTGTCTACCTTAATCACAATTTTTAGAGTTCTCAGAGCTCTTTCTGAAGATACATGTTCTTTCCTTTCAGTAAGTCTCCTGGTTATTCACTCAACCTGGGTCTTACCTCTTTCCTCTGTCTCCAGATACCAAGGCACTGGCAATCTCCCAGGTAGCCCAGCCCAGCCCTGACAGCCTGTAGCCACAGTGAAGTGTTACTGTTGACCTGCTTCCCCCTGGTCCCTCCTCCTCCGGGTCAGCCCCTGGGCCTCAGGTACTCCTGCCTCCCCTTCCATCAAGTCCTTGATTCCTTTCATCGGCATCAGCTTTAGGGTTAGTAGTTCAGTTTACATTTTAGCTAATCTCAAAGATCTTTAGCTTGAGACATACCCTAATGATTGACTTTAGGCCGTAAACAGTTTTGGGTTAGGGTAGGGATAAAGGGTCAGTCACGCTGTTCTCTCTCCCTAGCCTTCCCCCCTCCCCACTCCGGCATTCTCATCCTATAGGGCACGCAGGCAGGCAGTGCAGGCAGAGGTAATGAGTGATTTGGAACACTGGCAATGACCTTGGCTTCTGCTTTTGCTTACTGAGCCAAGGCCCTGGTCACCTACCATGGCTGTCTTGATACTCATTTGTAAGGGCGCAGGGACTTGTTCAATAAGATGGATCCCCCAGGCTTTGTGCTAGAGGCTGGGAGTGCAAGTTGGAGAGGTGGGATGTAGTGTGGGCTCTGGAGTGAGACTGCCTGGGTGCAGGCACCAGCTCCACCACTTAGTAGCTGTGTGACCTTGGAGATGTTCCTTAATCTCTCTGTGCCTCAGTCTCTTCCCCTCTCAACTGTGAAGGGTGGTTGAGGATTAGGCACCAAGCCCTCCAGACATGCTTAGCATGTGTTTGGTGCTCATGAGGGATGGCTCTTTATTCCTTGAAGGAGCCCCCAGGCCAACAATAACCGCTCTGTGTTTACTGCCAACCCTGCTTCTGTGTGAACTAAATAGACTGGGAGACTCCAGGACAGGTGGTCAGCATGGAAACTGCCCCTGCCAAGTGCTGGCTAGCCTTCCAAGCCTGCCCTGCAGAAAACCAGGCTGTATTTGGGGCTCTGGCTCCCTTCTAGGGAACCTCCTAAAGGTTCATCTGCCCCAGACAGCACCTCCCGCAGGGTTCGTAGTGACTGCCTCTCCCCCACTGACTCTATACTGTCCTTCGCAGAGTTCTTTGACAAGGCTTCCCCCACCATACTTTCTTGCCAGGATGCAGCCGCTGGGGTGGTCACCATGCTGGGGAAGAGAAGTTGTTCCATTCTTTCTCCACTATCTGTGGGATCATAATGGGTCTGGTGGCTGCAAGAAGAGCTGGATCTTAATTTTAGTGATGGAGGAATTAAGGCTGCTCAGAACTGGGCCACAATCAGTGCAGTTGCTGGGAGGGGAAGGAGGCAGGCACCATTAGTAGTTAAGGGAAGACCTATCTTCCTGTGGGATTTTTTGGCTTTGATCTTGGGCCTTTGTATCAGGCCGCCTTGGGGGTGCCCTGGTCCCTGCTGATTGGTAGTGTGGGTGTGGATGAGGTACAGGGAGAAGGGGTTTGTTTGCTGAGGTCTAGAGAGAGGCTTACAAGCGTGCAGAATCTTTAAAAATCCTTCTGAAAAACTTGGCACCCTCTAAATATTATGCCCTAGCATGAAATCTGAATCACTGAGCTCGGTGTATAAAATTGGCCACAAGGAACAGAGATCCAGGGGAGGACTGTTCCCTTTCTGACTTCCAGTCTTACGGTTTTACAAAGTTTTTATTTCGTGGATGTTCATTTCTTTAAACCTTTCCCAGCTTCATTGAGGTTCTGGGTCTAGATACTGAGAAGATTGAAGTATTTATTGGTAGTGTGCATGACTTACTATCTGGAAAGATTTTATTTTTTCTAGTCCCTATTTGTAGGAACCCTAAATCAGTAACATTTTTCATTGAATTTCCTGGGCTCTGTGGTTGTTTTGCAGTAGTAGTATTGGGGGACACGCCTTGGAGGCCCCCATCTGGCTCTCTAATGAGGAGACCATGGTTTTGTTTTCCAGCAGGAGAATCATGTTTACCATGTACTAGAGCTCCAGAAATAGATACTTAACCTAAGACAGGAGGCTGAGCTGTGCACAGAAGCAATTTACAAACTTCTGCAGCTTCACTGTCACCTTCTCTCTGGTGACTTCCTGTCTTGTTTGGTTATCTAGACATGGGAAAGAAGTATAATTATTTTAACACAAAAAAAGAAGTCTACCTTCCAAATTAACTCTCACATGGTTTCTTTCTTAGCAGTTTTCTTTATTATTCCTCTAATAAGTGAAATACAGAAGACATAAATTTAAACAGGACTAGAAACTTCCAGCCACAAAAGTTCCTGGGGCTTCGGTGATGTGAATGGGAAGATTAAGATCAAAAGTGTGGGGAAGGGCAGGGGTTGTATAAAAGTGGGTGTCCAGCAGGGCAGGTGGGAGGGGGTGCAGAAGAGCAAGAGCATTCTGAAAAGTCAGGGGAGATTACCAATACTGAGACCCCAGCCTCTATACTGAGAGCTCTCCACTTAATCCAGGAGCTGGGAAAGGTAGGGCATGCCTCACGTCCTTCCTTAGCCTCAAAGGAATGCTATGTGTGCAGGAAGAAAGTATTACAACTTGTCTTTCCATTTATATTTAGCACATCCTTTTTATTTTCCAGTTTTTGTCTTCAAGTTCTGCAATGTACATATCAGTGCAGTTGCACTTGTGTGTAGTTTATAACTCAAGAAGTATCTTACTGGGAGGTAGTAGTTTGTGATCAAACAGGTTAGGATGTCGCTTCTCAAAGATATAATGACAGAGCAGGGAAGCAACCGCTTTCTGTTTAAAGTGAATACACAGGACTCTTTGGAAGTGTTAAAATGCAAATTCGTGTTGTGTGGATCTGGGCTGGAGCCTCAGACTGCGTTTGGAAGGCTGACTCAAAGGAGCGAGGTGGTGTTTTCCTCTTTTATGCCGCAGTATTTCATTTGGTGTCTTAGTCAAATAGGGAAACCTGAAATCCCCCAGATGTTCAGGAACAAATGCTCTGGCTTTCTGCCCTGAAACACCCAAGCCTTACCCCTGATGCTGGAGGGAAGTCCCGTGCTTGGGGTGGGGAGTGGGGGCCTGTCAGAGGACCCCTCGGCTTCCATTCCCATAGGGATGTGTCATTGCATGTCATGTGATGTCACATTGTCCAGATGGCTTTGGTAGCCCACTTCACAGGAAGGGGAGGTTCTGGGTGCTGCCACCAAAGAGCTGAGGCCTTGGGAGTGCAGCAAAGGAGGTGGGCAAACAGTGCCCCTTTAGAGCTGGGGCTGCTGTCCTGAGCCCAGTGGGCTTCAGTGCTTACTTGCCTTTCCTGGCTCTGCCTCCGTGCTCTGTGAACACAGCATCTACTGCGTCTAGTGCAATGGCATGTGAGGAGCACTTTTATGCACTGCTACTTAAAAATAGTGGCTCCAGACCCCTGTATTCTTTTTATCACTTTGCAAATGAGGAAACGGGGCCGAACAGTGAAGCAGCTTAGCTGACAGGGCTAGTAAGCAGGAGGGCAGGGCCAGTTCTTCCACCTGCTGCTCAGTGTTCCTTCTATTTGAGTAAAAACTGCCTCTATTCTGGGAGCCAGTGAGAGTTAAGAGAGTGTTTGAGGACTCAAAGTCTCATTCATTCACCAACTAAGTGTGTACAATGTGTCCAGTACTAAGTGTTTAGAACCCAGAAATGAACAACACAGCCCTTGGCCAGAATGAAGGAGACGGAGAAGCAAACATGCATTTACCAGATGCTGTTGAGTGCAGTGGTGGGGTCAGGTTACTGCATGACAGGAGGGTCCCATTGCCCACAGAAGAGAAAGCTAATTGGCAGAAGTGTCCAGGCTGAGACCGGAAGGGTGAAAAACACTAGCTGCGTAGACAGAGTGGATGCTGCCAGCAGAAGAGCCCATGTGCAGCACCAGGAACTTCTGGATACCAAAATAGTGATGATGCTAATCAGTACATTTGAAGCTTAATACAGGGAGCCTGGTGATTTACACTCATAACAGTCTGTGTTTTGGAATTTACTTTCCTTTTAATGCAGCAACTCCTCTGTCTGTCTGTTGATTAGTGTTTGCATGGTGTATCTTCCCTTTCCTAGGTCTTCTGTCTGTCTATGTCTTCATATTTAAAAAGAATTTCATAGAGTGGGGCTTCCTGTCTCTCTTTTTTTTTTATTTTGGTATCATTAATCTACAATTACATGAGGAACATTATGTTTACTAGAAATTTACCATCTGAATTTCTTCTTT